CTTTACTGGTTCCTGAAACCATAGAACTGGACAAGATCTTAGAGCTCATTAATTCTCCTCCCCTATCCTGACCACCAATTCTCCAGTTGAAAAAACTGAAACTTCTGAGACATTAAGCTGCCCCCATAGTTATACAAGTCTGTAGTCATAACTATAGCAGTTACCATTTATTAAGAGCCTCTTATACACCACACACTTTATATATATATATATATATATATATATATATATATATATGTACACACACACACACACACACACACATTATCTCAGTCTCACACAATCCTTCAAGGCAGATGGCATTATCATCACTTTAGAGATCACTTGTTGTGGAGAGCTCTGCTCTTGTTACGGGCAGTGCTGAGTTTTAGCCCCAAATCTGACTGGCTGTAACCTAGGCTTTTCTATTGGATGCTCTGACAGAAGCAAGACCTATCAGATGTCCTAACTGCTGTCTCCTACTGTTTCTCCAGTAAATAATTATGCCAAGTAAGCAAATATGCACACTTACAAGTTTTAAGCCTTTTTTAAAAAACATCTGGAGGCATAAAAATTAAACAGTAGTTTCATTATTATAAAAGTTCTAAGGTTAAATCTAAGGTTATTTAGTATCAACATCTGATTCTGTTGTCAGAAAACTTCTTCAATGTGGAAAGAAGATATGTTTTCCTGCTTTTTCACTTTCTAAATATATTTTCACTTAAAATCCATCTGCTTTCTTTGTTTTTTGTTTTGTTTTGTTTTGTTTTGTTTTCCTTTTTGAGATGGGGTCTTGCTTTGTTTCTGAGGCTGGAATGCAGTGGCGCAATCTCAGCTCACTACAACCTCTTCTGCCTCCTAGGTTCAAGTAATTCTCTACCTCAGCCTCCTGAGTAGCTGGGATTACAGGCGCCCACCACTATGCCCCGCTAATTTTTGTACTTTTAGTAGAGACAGGGTTTCACCATCTTGACCAGGCTGGTCTTGAACTCCTGAGCTCGTGATCCATCCACCTCGGCCTCCCAAATTGCTGGGATTATAGGCGTGAGCCACTGCATCTGGCCCAACTGCTTTCAATAAGCATTTGTTGAGCCCCTAGATGTCCCAGGCACATGGGAGGGTACAAAGGTGAATAAGACATGATTTTTCCCTCTGAGAGTTCACAAGCAAAAGGTAGAAAATCAACTAATGATAGAAACCACTCTTTTCTACCTATAGCAGCTCTGGCTAATTCAGGAACTTCCAACCATTGAAGCCTTCTCAACCACTTAAGCCCTTTATGGGAGTCAGAGTCTTGGTTCTGACTCTTGCCCTGTATTTTAGGAAGTCATCTCACTGTGCCTTAGTTTCCTTGGTAAAGAGACTGATTAAAAATGAATGAACTGTGCCAAGTAATTTCAAAGTCTCTTTTAGCGCTAAAATTCTACTGTCTCTGAGCTTACTCTTGAGATTATGCTTCTGCAAGTGATCACAGCTACCATTATGGAAATGGAACTGCTAGATGTCCATTCTTCTTCAGCACTAACTTCAGAAATAGTGAGTTCAGAAAATATTGCTACAAGACTAGGGCTGACTAACATGCCTCCAAAGTTTATAACATAAACTTTATCAAAGTTTATCCTTGATAAAAGGGATATTATTAAATGTGACATTCAAATCTTTCTTAGATTGTATCACTGACTTTGTATAGCTGTAATTCTTTGGAATCCATTTAAGGTGTTTAAAATATAATTTTAAATAACTCCTTTTATCTACTCTTTTATGGCATTACCGACATGAATAACAACAAATCAGAGTTAAGGCCTCTGCAGCATAAATCTTGTTTTCATTTGATTAATACTTCATATTGGATCACTTGAGCCTAGGAGGTTGAGGCTATGATTGAGCCATTGCACTCCAGCCTCTGTGACAGAGTGAGACCCTGTCTCAAAAAACCTTCACATTAAGTGGTATCTTACGGACCTTCCCAAACTGTAGCTAAACTTCATGTTGTTTTCCAGGCAGTGGGGGGGCGAAAATATAGAAATATTAGTATTCCAAATGAGTGGATACACATGACCGCAGGACTTGACTTTGCTGATTCCATTTCAAAATCCTGCACTTTTTTTTTCAACTAGCACCGAAAATATTTTGAATCATCCAAAAGTTACACAGTAACATACTTTCTCTTGACAGGGCTCCACATGTTTTATCTTTCTTTATACTAAGTGTCTTAGGATATGATGCTTTAACCCATCTTGTGCTGCAGGTTAACATCACAGAGGAGAAAATCAATCAAAACCAGGAGGAAAAAGAATCAGAACTGCACCAACTTGGTGACTTTCCCACAAAAAAAGTTAATTTGACAGTTAATTTCAACTGTCAAAAACAGTCCTACCAAGAAATCAGGAAAAGAGTTTATTCATTTATGAGTCAACAATTACTAAGTGTTTCATGAATGCCAGGCACTGTTCTAGGTGCTAGAGTTTTATTAGTGAACAATATAGCCCAAATCCCTGCCATAGTGGAGCTTACATTCTAGTAAGAAGAGATCAGACTTAAAAGAACGTAGAAACAAAGTAATATCAGATAAACGGTTAGCTGTGAAGAAAATGAAATAGTACTATCGGGTGGCTCCTGGGGGGAGGGGTCAGGAGATAATGAAGGAGATCAGGAGCGCCTCTCTGAGTAGATGCCACTTGAGGTAAGTCCTAAATGATAAGAAAGCTTTATTCAATCTTACTAATGTGGGGTGGGAATGAGTCAAGTTAGTCTTTGAGAATGATCACAGTGAGAAAAATTCTGTATTCATGAAAGGTAAACGAGGTTCCTTTTAGGATCTGGCTTTTTAAAAACCCTCAAAAAAGCTAGCCTTAAGGAGTCAATTTTTCTTTTAAGATCCATTTTTAAAATTTTTCAAATTACTTTAGAGCTACTTAGGTAGACGCAAGTACTAGGAGGATTCCTTCAGAGTGCGATATCTCCCTCACTTGACACCAAATACTGAATGAGACAGGACCCAGCCCTGCAGCAAGCCAGCGCTCCTCCACCGATAGATTAATGCAGCCAGGTGGAATTTTGTAATTCTTCCAAGAACGCGAAAAAAGCCTTGGGGAACGTGGGGACCCTGACCCCCCAAAGTTACTGTGGAAAGGAGAACCCCGTTGCCCTTTTGCACTGTTTCCCCCGCCCCTTCGGGTGTCCCTGATTCCCCCCTCAAAGTTATTGTGGAAGCCGGGTACTCCGCTGCCCTTTTGCACTAAGTCTCCCCCGCCCCTCTGGGCGTCATCACTGCAGAGGGGCCGCTCTCCCTGGGTCAGAGGCACACGGCGAGTACGCGCGCGTGTGTGTACCCCGCATGAATCATCGGGCCCGGTCCGTGGGGCGATGATTCATTCACTGCCCTGGAGCTCACCGCCACACGTTCCGGGCGTACTATGACGGCCGCACACGCAGCTTCCTTAATATTAAACAAATGTTTCAAAGTACAAACGCCTGGGGCCAGAAACCTGTGGACCCAGGCGAGGTGGCGGCGTTTCGGCCGCTGCCCAAGTGTTGGCGGGGCGGGGAGGCGAGAGACTGGCACGTCCGTCCGGGCCCCAGCCAACACCACGGCACGCGCGCGGGCGGCGCCCGCAGGGGGCGCGGAGGGCGTACAGGTGGGTCCCGCCGGGTCCTGCCTCCTGCCCCTCCCTGCCACTCGCGGAAGGCCACCGCGCCCTCCCCAACGCGCCTCTCGGTCGCCCCTTTCCTCTCCGTGACATCTTATATAATAACCTGAGCTAATCAAAACGGAAGCGACGCGCGCAGCCGGGAGCAGATGCTCGCGCCCCGAGCCCGCGGCCCCCGAACTAGGCGCCGGGGCGCGCTGTTGCCGGCGGGGGAAGGGCCAGAGCGCCGAGTCGGGTCGTCCCTCCTCGGCGGAGGCGCCACTGCTGCTGGTCCCCGTCAGGAAGCCGCGAGCGTCACAAACTGCGTCAGCTTCTTCAAACACATTTCATGGTCTCCGTACAGCCAGGGAGCCGCTGCTCCCGCGGCGGGGCCGCGGCCGGGGCTGGAAGGCGCTCCTCTGGGGAAGAGAAAGTTCCTCGGGGCCCTCCCTTTGCCCGCCCGGCGCCCGGCCCCGCCGCGCCTCCAGCCCCTCTTCGCGCGCCGCCCGCCCGGCCGCGCCGCCCACCGGCCCGCACCGAGGTCAGGTTAGGCAACTTGTGACCCCGAGGCGCCGGGCGGCCCCCTCCCGCCCTCCAGGCTCGCCCGGCTCCCGGGGCCTCCCCCCGGCCTCGCGGAAAACAGCCACGCCACAAACTTCCCTGGGCCGCGTCGGGCGGGGAAGCCTCCCCGGTCTCCGCGCATCGCCCTTACCTTGCTCTCGAGAGGCCACGATCCGGGCGGGCCGCGCGGGGCGCGTGGTGCGCGAGCGCGCGCGCGTGGGGCGGTAGGTGAGGGAGCCCGCGCCGGCGGGGGCGGGGCGGGGCAGC